GATAAGTTCAAATCAAATGCTCAAATAGCACATAAGTACATTCATGAAAATTATTATGGTTATGTTCAAATATATTCTGATGCATCGAAAAATATGGAAGACAAAGTAGGTGTGGCATTTAGTATCCCAGAATTTAATGTGAAAGTCAGTAAAAGAATCACAGATAATTTGTCAATTTACACTGGTGAAATTATTGCAATTTTACTGGCATTGCAATGGGTGGAGGAACATAAGCCAATGTGGACACTCATATGTTCTGATTCAAGTTCATCTTTAATTACAATTAAAACATGTCATTCAGAGAGCAGAGCAGATATAATGATTGAGATTCTTCAAACAATATATAGGATCCAGATGATGGGAATTTCTGTAGCTTTCTGTTGGGTACCAGCGCATGTGGGAGTAAAAGGGAATGAGTTAGCAGATGAAAATGCAAAGGAAGCAACAAAGAAAGTAGACATAGATATGCAGATAAAGTATGGTAAGAGTGAAATGAAGTGTGTAATCAAGCAACATGTGAAGAATAGATGGCAGAAATATTGGGAAGAAGAAAGAACAGGGAGATGGTTGTATAGCGTTCAAAGAATTGTTGGTAAGTACAGAGTAACAGGAAGAAATAGACGTGAGGAAACTGTAATCTCAAGGCTTAGATTTGGCCATACTGCTCTTAATAGCAGTTTAAAGAGAATGGGGAGGCATGAAACTGGAAAATGTGAATATTGTAATATGGAGGAAAATGTAGAGCATGTTATAATGAAGTGTCCAAGATACGGAAAAGGAAAGAAAGATACTGATTGATGTCCTCAAGGAAAATAAAGAAAATCTTAATTTGATGAACATTTTGGGGAATAAATCAGGGGATAAAAACTTAAAATTTTTAATGCGTTATTTAAAGGACAGTGGATTATGTAATAGAATTTAGTGAAGAGTACGGTCCTGATCAGTAGGTGGCGGTAATGCACCTAAAAGTTGTATGCCATCCGCCATTAAACACCAAGAAGAAGAAGAAGAAGAAGAAGAAGAAGAAGAAGAAGATAACTTTACAGCTGTAAAGATCCTATTTACTTCCGATTGTATTTTTACGCCAGAAGAAACGTGAATAGTACCCTGTTCACTTTAGGGTTATGTAGCCGTTTTCGCCTCTTCATAGCGACCTTATGTGGTGTGAATCATGGAGACAACTCCGATAAAACTGACACCAGCTAATGAAAATACACCAAATACATCTCAGACTTCTTCTTCAAGCAGGTCAAGCGCTAACAAGGTACATCTTATTGCCTTTTTGATAGCTAATATTTTCAGATGATGCTTAACATTAGCAAAGAGTAACGTTAGATACACCACGTTCAAAAATGGAAAGGCCTTGTTTTTCACAAAAACATAATCACTGTCTAGAATCACACGAGCATTGTTAATATTTTGTTGACATTTTTCCTTTAGCCCATGAGTTCCTCACTGAAGGAGAAGTTAAAAAGATCACGCCACTCATTCAGATCCCCCCTCAGTGTGGTTAAACGCCTTAAAATAGAAGATGACAGTCAACCACAGACCTCACAACCGGGAGACAGAGAGGCCGATACTGATGTCCATCGGAATGATATGAGGGAGCAAAGAGACTGTTCACATCACACAGCTGAGCCTGCACAAAAGCACTTGATTCAGCAATGTGAAGAGCTAAGAAAAGCAGTGAAGGAGAAATCAGAAACCTTGCGAAGATTAAAGATGGCCAAGATGTATAGAACAAAGGTAAACATCTATTTCTAAGTCAAGTATTGCCAAAGGATGATGTTCTAGGAGTTTTTCTTTCTTTGCTTTGTCTTTTCTCATAGAATGACCTGACCCAGCTACAGAGACTCATAGACAAATGGAGATCCTGTGCTCAGTCTGTGCTGTGTGAATTACAGAGTGAATTACCCTCAGAGGGAAAACAAGTCAGTCTTTCTCAGCTTATAGACAGTTTGGGGTTAGATGACAAGATACTGCACTTTGACAGGACAGAGGAAGACTTCACAGACAACTGAAATTCATTGTATTGGATTCTTTTATTGATTATATGTAAATGGGTTGTAAGAAGCCTTTTCAGAAAAGGTTGTTCATCAGTACATTCAGATTATATGTGGAACCGATAAAAGACATTGTGAATTTTGTTAGGTTTATTAAACTTTCTTGTTATTTATTACACATTTTTCTTGTGTTCTCATGTCACATCTATGTATTTGAATAATTAAAAATTTCAACCAAAAGCTGTTATAATAAATCTCATTTATGTATCCGGAATCAGTTGTAGTTTAGTTGAGAAAGAGATGGGAAGTTCTTCATACGCAGCTTCTCAACCTCCGTTTGCAGTGTGAGTATCTCTTCAGATTGTGCTCCAGCTATGTTCAACAGCTTCTTTCTCAAGATGATGTCTTGGTAGTTCTTCTCTGCCTCTGTCTCCTGGTTATCTCCCATTGCTGGATAACAACATTTTGTGAATAAGTAAATATAAATGAAAGTTATTGGGCCTTATTCATGAACCCTCAGCAGAATGTAAATTACAAAACATACTGTTTTTATTATTATTATTTATTTAAAAATCATGTAATTCAATGGTTCAGTTTACCCTGCTGTTCAAAAGGTTTTTTAACATTTAAAAAAGTCTCTTATGCTCACCAAGGCTGCATTTATTTGATCAGTAATACTGTGAAATATTATTAGAATTTAAATATTACTTTTCTATTTGAATATATTTTAAAATGTATTTTTTTCCTGTTGTGGTGAAACTGAACTTTCAGCAGAACCGTTACTTCAGTCTTTAGCCACACATGATTGTTCATAAATCATTCTAATATTCTGATGTGGTGCTTAAGAAACATTTTTTATATTGTCAATGTTCAAAGCAAATGCGCTGCTTACTATTATTGTGGAAACTGTGATAGTGTTTTTTCCCCTAGGAATCTTTGATGAATAGAAAGTTAAAGAAATAAGCATTTATTTCTTGAGACAGTGATTCATGCTTTTGTGTCCTCTAGGCTTGATTACTGCAACTCATTGTACCTGGGTGTTGTATGTTATTATTATTTTTATTTAAGAAAATATGTAGTTGTTTAATTGTATACACTTAATTATTGTCCTAGCCAACTCCTAACCTTAAACATACCCGTTGGTAACTCTCTTAAAATATATAAACGAATTTATTTCAGTATATTCTATATATATATATATATATATGCACCACAGCACAGCACTTCACATGAACATGTTTTCTGCCCGAGTCCTGTCGGATTGCATTGGCTGTGGGGATGAAGACCACAATTCCCATGATTCCACACTCAGTCACAGGGTCATCAAACTACTCCCCTCCAGCTGCGAAAATTACATAATGTGCCTTTAAGGCCCTCAGTTAGGTTGATGCTGACCATGCCCAAGGTCCCGTTTGTTAAAAGTTAAAAGGTGATTTTTCAGTGGCTGCACCATGCCTATGCAACAAATTTTTTTGTTTTTTTTTGTTAGTCTTATGTGTTGTTTTTTTTTGCTAGTATTTATGTGCAGCACTTTGGTCAGCTTTGGCTGTTTTTAAATATGCATTAGAAATAAATGTGCTGTGCCTGGCCTTGCATTGCCTTATTTGAAATATAAATCTTATACGCCCCTCCAGCTGCGAAAATTACATAATGTGCCTTTAAGGCCCTCAGTTAGGTTGATGCTGACCATGCCCAAGGTCCCGTTTGTTAAAAGTTAAAAGGTGATTTTTCAGTGGCTGCACCATGCCTATGCAACAAATTTTTTTGTTTTTTTTTGTTAGTCTTATGTGTTGTTTTATTTTGCTAGTATTTATGTGCAGCACTTTGGTCAGCTTTGGCTGTTTTTAAATATGCATTAGAAATAAATGTGCTGTGCCTGGCCTTGCATTGCCTTATTTGAAATATAAATCTTGTGTAACATTTTAAATGTCTTTACTGTCACTTTTGATCAGGTTAATGTGTCGTTGCTTAATAATAATATGTACAATATGTATAATATGTACATCAGTTTATATTTACTGAAACCCTATAAAGAAAAAATGTTACATTGTCCTCGTTTGTAAGTCGCTTTGGATAAAAGCGTCTGCTAAATGACTAAATGTAAAAGTATTAATTACTTTAAAAAAAATATTTTTTAAACAGTAGTGTAGCCCTGTGTAAGAATGCATTAATGAATGATTAACATAGAAATCTCTCCTCACGTTTCATGAATAAGGCCCATTGTTCTCTAAACTACAAAGTAGTCTATTTTTGCTAAAAAAAACTAATTGCTTCTTTAATGGGACAAGATATAAAGTCAGTTACCAACAGCCTCGTAAATATTTCTTCTCTCTGCAACAGTTATCTCCATGTCAGCCACTTTCAAGTCGAGGGCTGTGCTCTTCTCTTGCATTTGCACACCTTGTCTGTCCAGGTGCTTTATCTGTTTCTTGCAAGCCTCAACTTTCTTTTGATGAGTCTGGGCAAATAGTGAAACAAACCAAACTTTTATATCAAGTCAATTAATTTGATTCATGTAATCATCCAGATTGAATTTACAACAAAGGAACACCTGTGCTGAGAAATATGCGTCTGGAAAAGTTACTCTGTGCCTAATATCTTTGCTATGCACTTAAACAGTTATGAGCAAGTTTACCGTTTTCTGTAAATCAAGGGTCGTCTCCAGAGTTGTGAGCTGCTTTGACACCCTGTTGTCATTACTGGTTTCGTTTAGGTACTGATGTGAGAAAAACACAAAGAAAGAAATATTTGTAATTGCAATAATATTTCATTCAATTTCACTTTGAAGCAAAGACAAAGGTAGTCCTGAGCCATAGTATCTTCTTATCTTAAATCGGTTAAATCATCCTTTTTCAATTTTCATTAGCTTACTTTGTCAATCTTATACCTGTAAGGTAAAAGACACTAAATGAATGAAGATTATTTCAAGCAATATTACTTTAAATGAAAGACTACAGATAAAATCTATACAGTACATACATCTTGAATCTCCTGAGTGATGCGCAGGGTCTGTATGTCTCTTGCTTTATTGCTGAGATCCTCCAGCTGCATTCTCATTCTCCTGTGATCCCACTCCTGCTGTATGATTCCTTTGCGGAAGTCTTTACACTCCACCATGCTGGCGATCTTCTGATCTCCTAAAGCCTGACAGATAAGAATGTAATAGATAAGTTATTTGATCATTCAAGTCAAATTAACCTCAAATTGAGAATACAGTATTTAAATAAAAACAATAACTGAAACTCTCGTGATAAAATATGATCAAAAATGCCATTGTGTTTGATCAATAGTTTTTATTTGTTGAAATAGTCTAAATTTCATTTAATCAACTATTGGTCTTTATGTGTCAATTTACGCACTTCATTTATTTCTAGTACAAACTGCCATTGATGATGATTGTCCAGATTTCGTTTTGTGCTTAGTTTCTGGTTAATGCACAGAAACAATCAGCAATATTAAAATGGATGCGCACTGATTATGAGTAAGACCATAATGATTTATAGTGTGAGCAAAATTGAAATGAAGAGAAAGATGAGTAATTCTGTGTACCCTGATGGCGCTGTTGAGGTCCTCAGTTACTTTGCGATGTATTAGCAAAGCATTAGTAAAATCAGCAATGAAGTCTCCAGCCTCCACCTCCACCTGACCTTGCTGTAGAACGATCTGCACCATACTGTCTAGTCGAAACCTCATCTTTTCTTCACAGATGCTAGGACAATAATAATAATGGTCATGGATACACGATAACATCCTATACCCAGTGCGCTTTCATTTTTATAACCAACTGTTTCCTCACCTATTGAGTTCATCAATCAGATTTTTTATTTCAAGCTGAGCTTTCTCGTCCTCATCTGTTCTCCTCTGAAGAAAAGCCTGCATCTCCGCCAGGGTCAATGCTTTTAGTTTGACCTACAGGAGTCAACGTTACAAGGCAATTTTGGATTTTGACGAACATGGCTACAAGATGTGATTTGGGTGACTTCTAGCACATTTGTGCTCTCTCTACCCATTCTCACCTTTTGTTCACTTTCCACTTTGGCCCGTCTGGCCAGGCAAAACCTCTCCCACACAAACGGATCTAATCCTTCCGGCATGTTCTCTGGTGCGTCCAATTCTTCCATGGCCTTCATCATCAGAGACAGTCCATCAGATGGTGCAGTTCCCAATAGTGCTCCCTCTTTAAACTGGTTATTTTCAGTCTGTGTTTTTATCCTCTGGACCCTGTTAAACAACACCATCACTGTTTTCAAAGGTAACTAGTCAGACAATCACATGTCTTATGCACGTGTCTTATGAAGTTGTAACTCCTCTGAAATAATACCTTGGTCTGCGTTTGTAAAGCTTATAGAGCTGGTCAATTATTTGTCCTGGAACGTCAAAAAACTCTTTGCGAAATCCTTTGTCAAGAAGCTTAAAAAAATGCAAATTATTTATTAAATTATACTTTCTTGGTGAGAACATTATGGATTTGTATATGCAAACATGTTCATAATCTTACTTTGTCCTCAGTCCCTGTGATATCATACTCCTCTCTAAACTCATCAACAGTCTCCTTGTGTTTTTTCAATTCCTCCCCAATTTCATTCTAACAGGAAAGAGAAGTGATTCATACACTTCAACATGTGCAAAACAATCAGTCTCACAGGAACGGATTAGCGTGCCACACAAGTTTGTTCTTGCATGAAATTTTTGTCTCATCATCAGGAACATTATAATTGTCTCGTGTTATAACTACCAATTTATCACGTTATATAGAGTTACTGTGAACAGACAACAGCAAGGCTGAAAAAAAGATAAAAGATAGAATATCTATAGATCACCTTTACAATTCGTGCCTTTTCAAGTTTAAGACTCATCTGTTTCTCTCTGCTTAGGATCTCTTCTTCGGTTTGAATGGAGTGAACCAGATTTGTAATCTTGAGCTCCTCCTGAAAGATAAAAACTCACAATCTATAATCGGAATTTGAATCAGAGTCAGAATGAGCTTTATTGCCAGGTATGTTTACACATACGAGGAATTTGTTTTCATGACAGAAGCTTCCACAGTGCAACAGAATGACAGTGACAAGACAAAACGCAGATAATAAAAGAATAAAAATTGAATAAGTAAATAAGGAATAACAATATACAAATTGATAATATTGTACCTACAGGTATATTACAATAGACAATTTTGTATGTACAGGTATATTATGTGCAATAATAAACCTGTACATACAAATTTGTCTATTGTAATATACCTATAATTATATTACAATATATATATATATATATTGTAATTATATATATTAGTATTAGATGTGCAGTTACTGTTACATAACTACAATTATGTGACTGTACACAAAAGGCCCCTGAATAGGTGACATGAGGTCCAACTGTATCATCTTACTTGGTATATGACCATCTCTGATTTCACTTTCCTCTCAAACAGCTTTGTGAGTTTTTCATCAAACATCTGAGTAGCCTCTTTAATAGAAGTCAGCAGTTTCTTCATTTCTGTCTCTAACGTCTAAAGAAACAGGAAAAGGGGGCCACCATGTTAAAATGATTGGAAATGGAAGGGAGTGATTGATAATAAGAACAGTTCACCCAAATATGCAGATTTGACATTAATAATGCCAAGCACAATTGGTTTTCGCATTTACTGTGACATATTTTAGAGCAGTACATTTTGCTAACAAGACTTTGTGATGTCTGTTTCTCACAAAAAAAGTTATTGGATGGTATCAGATGATTTGTAATACAGTATATGCGTTGAAAGACCACTTTGGTGTCTTTGTTTTCATTTTTGAAGCCTGACAGTTAAAACCTATAGAATTTTGGATGAAGTATCCCTGTAAGGTGTTATCAAAGTCATACTTTTCTGTATTTCTCTTTCTCCTCACTGAGCTCCTTTGCTTTTTTCTCAAACTCTTTGAAGCTCTTTCTCTCTTCTTCTGTCCACTGTACCTCAGGTCTAGACATGAACTCAGGCTGAGGTACTTCCTGTAAGATAAGCATATTTTGAATGTTACTTTGCCCTGCCTTTATCTTATTTTTGGTAAGTAAGTTTATGCATTCCAGTAAGATTCATTCTGCTCACCATCCTCAGCACATCCTCTTTTTTAAGCTCCAGAACTCCACCCATCATGACACTGAGCGCTTGATCTCTCATGTTGTCAGACTGCATTGAAAATGCAGAACAGTTGTTGTCATCTACAGCATGAGACAAACTGATATATCTATGTTACAGTTTCTGCCTATATAAGACAGCTTTCATATTTCAGTTTAATGCATTATATATACTACACTACTTTTTAAAAGTTCAAAAGTCTCTTATTCTCACCAAGTCTGCATTTATTTGATCAAAATAAATTGCTAAATATCATTACAATTTAAAATAACGTTTTTCTATTTTAATATATTTTAAAATGTAACATATTTCTGTGATGGCAAAGCTACATTTTCAGCAGCCAGTCAGTGTCCAATTATCCTTCTGAAATAATTCTAATATGCTGATTTGGTGCTCAAGAAGCATTTCTTATTATTATTACATTTGAAAACAGTTGCTTAATGTTATTGTTGATACTGTGATACATAAGATGAATAGAAAGTTCAATATTTTGTAATATAATAAATGTCCCTTTTTGATCAATTGAATGCATTCTTGGTAATAAAAAAGTATATATATATATATATATATATATATATACAAATGAAAAAGTTTATACATTAATGTACACTTTTGTTTAAACGTTTGGTGTAAATCTGGTGTAATTATACATTAATATATAATTAATAGATTAAAAATTCAGTGATTTATGTTAAAATGTGCTGTAAGATGTGTGGTTAAAAGCACATCTGTTGTGAGGTACAGCAATGTTATACCTTGGCTGCAAGTCTTTGCTGTTTATCTTCCTCTCTTAGCTGTTCTTCTTTTTCTTTTTGCTCAGGGGTGAGGTATTTCTCAACCTTGATCTAAAAACACACACACATTTGTCTGTCAGGCCCATAGTTCAAAATAATAAATCAGTGTTTGCCATAATTTGATTACATAATTACAATCAATTAAATGATATAAAAACTGTCAGTTTGAAAGATTACAAATAGGTCTATGTTCAGACTTGTTAGACCAATAAAGGTGAGATAAATCCTGGATTAACCTTAGATTTAAAAAAAAAATCGTATATAGAGACTGGCTGTGTTACCTCGGAGTCAGTCACAGTAAGAGCTCTCTCAGGACACTCATTATCCGTGAGACTAGGCTCCCACAGGGTCTCACTGAGGTCCAGCTCGCTCATAATCTCAGAAATACGCTTGTTCTTCTCTCTAAGACGGTAGATTTCCTGTTCCTTCTGCTTGTAAACTGCCTCAAATTTTTTGTTGAATGTGCTCTTCACTTTGTAGATAACATCCTTCATTAAACAACCATGAAATATATCAAATGAACGGTAGTGGTAGACCATACTGTATGACCCCATTTTCACTGTTTAAACCTTTTCTGTACTCAAAAAGGGATGCCAACACCCAAATGAAACATAAAACATTAAGTTCATGTATCAAAGTATAAACAAGAGAAGTCATCACCTTTAGCAAGGTGATTTGGTTGATTTTCTGCTCTCTGATGTGTAAGTTAAACTGGCTGTAGAGATGAGGATTGACACCTCCATACAGAGCACTCAGACTGCCAGTTAGAGCAGGACTCTCGGTCTTACTGTCCTCTGCCTCTTCTTGCTCTTTGTCTCCAGAGATTGTGTTTAAAATCATCTCTTGAAGCTATGAAGCATATTCATATTATTTGTGTCAAATAAGAGAAACAAGCACTGAATCAAGGTGCGCTACTATATGTTCAGAATCTTTTCTAAGGCTTTGGTTGCTATGGAGGAATCTTTTCCAACAGCTGACTCATTATTGTTTTGGTAACACACTGTACACATACTTGTGAATTTTCCTGTTCAATCTGCCTCATGGTCTCAATCCTTTGAAGCTCTTCGAGTTCTTTTTCAGTGCGTTCCTTCATGGGGTAGTTCTTCACCTCATTTTCTGAATGAAAGGCCTGAGGGCAACAAAACGTACACAAAGACACTGACACTTGACAGCTGTATAGCATTTCTAGTTCCGGGTAAGCCAGGTGAAATCGATGGATGTGGATATTATTACATTTTTTCCCCCTACATAAAATCGACTTTCTTTTTAGACTAGAGACCTTAATGGCTTTGCCTTTGACTTGCATGGAATCCCAGCATTCTTTCTTCAGGATCTCCCTCTGATAGCACTTAGCCAGATTCTCCATCTCGATCTCTTTCTTCACCTTAAGCAACATAAATAAACATCTGAATAAAGTAGGAAAAAACCCTATATAAACTGAAGAGCTTGTTTTTACAGAAGATGTGTAATTAATCTGCTCTTCATCATCTGTAAATAGCCATGTTTACCCTGGTAACTTCCTGTTTTCCCTCGAGCTGCATCCTCTGTTGCTCTTCCACATCTAGGTTAAATTCCTGGTGCCCAAGTTTCTCCATGTCTGGCAGGCTCTCATTCTCTTGCATCATTGCTTTGATCTGGAATGATCCAGAGACAATAAAGATTAACCTTTCAACTTCAAATGTGTTTTAGGTATGGAAACAATAATATGAAAGAGAGGACGATCCTTTCTCTTACTGTGTCACGAAGAACTTTGATGTTTTTTCTTAGGTTCTTTTTGGTCTCTGCATACTGCTGGGTCTCTTCTTGAAGAACCTGTTTGGAAACCACTGGAGTCATGATCTTATTATTAATGTATTATCTTTCAATTATTCTATTTCTCACTCAGATAAGATGCTTGATTTTTGTGGAAACCAATATCATAACAATCTTTCAAAAGTTTGGGATTGGTAAGATTAAAAAAAAAATCTTTTTGAAATAAGTCTCCTTCCAAGACTGTATTTATTTGATCGAAAAATATAGTAAACCAGAAATATTGTGAAATATTTTTACAATTAAAAATAATTGTCTATTTTAATATATTTAAAACAAATGTTAACATATTTCTGTAATGGCAAACAATATTTTCAGCAGCCATTACTCCAGTCTTCAGTGTCACATGATCCTGCAACTGACTGAGCATACTGGTTAGCTGCATTTGTTTTGCCGGCCCCAGAAAGCTTTAACCTGTTAAATTTGAATGCATTGTAAAAACAAAAATGCTTCAGGTCCAGCTTCAAGGGCATTTTTAAACTACCAGAGAGAGAAAATATTGCTATAGATCATAGTAATATTTGTTTGTTTAATATTTTTTGAGAGCCCTGAGCTCACCTGAGCCTGCTGCAGACAAGTGAGCCATCCCTCAGGCCCGAGGTGATGAGGGTCTGACTGTCTGGGGTGAAACAAACAGATCCGACTCCACCCTGCCAACATGAGTGGCACTGCAGCTGCACATACCTGTCCTGCATGTCAAAAGTATGCACATTTACATACTCATCAGATATTTCCTAAATATGTTTCTCCTAGCCCAGTACTCATAAACATGGATGAACTTGTAGAGATTGGTTTTAACAACAATACCATTGTTGAGATCTCACAAATGCGCAGCAGTCCGTCCCTGCCAACTGTTGCTAGCCAGCTTTGATGTGGAGAGAGCTGTAGAAAAGCAGGACTCTGTAAATGGCCCCCTGCCTCCTTCTCTAGGATCAGGTGAACTGCTTCCTGTGCATTAGATGGCTTTACTCCACTCTGCATATCACAGGAGAAGCAGTTAGGAGTAGTGCCAAAAACACAAAATAAAACTGTCATCAGACTATAGGTGTTGTCTCTTCTTATACCACCTCAGGGATACTGAAACTTTGCAAGACTTTTCTCTGTTGGCAGTAACCAAATATCTTGTTTATGGCCAGGACACAAGAGCAGAGAGCGTGAGGGATCTCATATAGGCAGCTGTGCAGGGCATCTTTACACAGACAGCCATAGACATCCACACAACCTGACGAGTCTGTAAGTGGCACAACATTATGAGAAGGAGTGCTGGTATTTTTGAATGTCTATCATTTGTCCTCCTATGTTTTAGAGAAGCTTTCTGCATGCCAGCCTCAATTATGGTGTGTTTTTGTGTTTTCCTGATACCTGTAAGCTGTTGCACAAACAAAGTCAGTAGCAGAAGCACATTTCCCTCATTGATTTCTCTCTCGGTCTTGCTGCATAACACCAGCACTTTAACCTGTTTACTTTCCGTGTGGTACTGAGTGGATAGGTTTACAATGGCACCTGGAGCCTCTGGAAGAAAGTGAAATTACTTTAAACTTTAGGCATAAAATGTAAATATGACACAGTTCAAAAGTTTGGGGTGGTAAGATTTTTGAATGTTTTTTAAAGAACCCTCTTAATCACCAATTATTTTATCATGTGATCAAAAATATAGTAAAACAGTAACATAGTGAAATATTATTAAAATCAAGAACCTTTTAATTATTATCAGTGCTGCTTTTTTGTGGAATTCATGATATATTTTTTTCAGGATTCTTTGATAAATCAATTCAATAGAACAGAATTTATTTGAAATAGAAATTTCTTTAATGTCACCTTTTGATCAATTTAAAGTATCCTCGTTGAATAAAAGTAAGCATTTATTTAAAAAAGAAAATAGAGAGAATTGAATAGTAATGTCATTCTGAGATTTACCAATCCATCCAATAATTTCAAATCCTTTTGATGGCCTTGCGTCCAGCACAAACATGCGTGAGTCTGATGCTCCTGTGATTAAGAAGTTGCCACCTTGATCAAACCTGTTAAACAAATATAACATACAGTATTCTCAACATTCAGTTCACAATGCCCCAATTCACAAGAAATATGATAGCAAATAATCACAGTGCTGTGAAACTCACACCAAATGGTCTACAGGAACATGGCAGAGATGAACTCTGTGAACTAGTCTGGGTTTTTGTTTTGTGGTCATTTCCACAAACAGAACGTCTCCAGTGGCTGTTCCTACAACAACATACTGTGCTATGGGGCAGCATGCCACACTGGTTACCTGAAGTAAAGTCATATCAAATAACACAGATTTAAGTAGAGCAAACTTATTCACCTGATTTGGGAAAAATTATTACTGTGAGGTCGTACAGAATCCCTAATTATAGCACTAACATGTATTTGCAGAGAGATGGAGCCCATGCAAAGTCCATCATCCAGGGCCCACAGCTGTACGTCTCCTGCTTCTCTGACTGACTGCAACAATGAAGATACAGATGTCTTATTATTTTCAATAATATATATATTGTATTTTAATATTTATATTGTAATACTATACTATTATATGTATCAGTATATTTATTGTGATTAATTAACCAATTGACACCACATGTTCTTTTACCAAACAAATGCTTCTGTCAGTGTATAATGGAGCAACAGCCACAAAATCTCCACAGAGTACATCCAGAACTTTGACAATGTTATCATTCAGTAGTGGTTTCAATCTGTAAACACAGCCCTATGAAGCAAAACCGAAATGTATTAACTATGTTTCTCAGCATTGTCTTTATTGTATTGTGTTGCATTATAAGAATTTTGTGAGTTTTTATCATGACATTTTTAAATAAAATATTAATTAGATATTATATTCATATAATGTATATTATAACAGAACTATTTTTGCATTCATATTATTTTAACACGAATCATAAAAAATACACCAACATCATAAAATATAAACACTTACTGTATTAGAAACTATCAGCAGTGTCTCACCATCGGGGGGAAAGCATATAGACGAGGCTGCCTCCTCCAAAGCCCCACCCTCTGAGCGTGCGTCTGTTTCCATAGCAACCCATAGCAACCCATAGCACGCGGACTCGAGTAACAAACATTTCATGTTGATTATAGTATCAATTATATTCATTTTATTTGTTTTAAGTTTATGCTACACATAAGAAACATAATATATTATGTTATAATATTATCATCATAATATTATATGATAATAATATAATAATAATATTATAAACCTTTATAAATATACATCATATAATAACATATCGTACACATCATATATGTATGGTACCTATAACACATCGTACATATATTACCAAAGAAATTATATTGCTTCTATGCTCTTTGTTATTACACACACATTATTTTTTAATAATTTTATGTTTTATTAATGTTATTAGGTAGTTTCAACGATTAGATGAGAACATTTTTGTAAATATCTCTACAAACGAGACGAATACAATATTATTGTTATTATTAATAATAATAATAATAATAATAATTACTATTATATTTAATTGACATAGTTAGGTTGTTTAATTTAACGACTTACGTTTGTGTCATTTTATCCTAGCAGCAAAGCTGTATCCTACTGGTGACTTTTATTTTGAAAGTGTGTTTGAGGTGGATTTGAAAGGGAAATCAGTATCGGATTCACAAAGCGTTTCAGTGGGAACCTTTCAAATCTACAATGTTGGGCACGGCGTCGTGAGTAATAACGTAATGTCCTGCAAAAGCGAAAGGACAGCATTGTCCATTAACTAAGTGAATGATCGGTAAATGCCTCCTGCGGCTACAATTAGCCCCTCGTATATGTCGTTTAACTTGACAGAAGGTCGTTTTGCCACAAGGTTTGCTTGCATATTTCAAATAATTAGCTTAGTTAGCCAGCCGCTGGCGTTGGTTAGCTTAAATCTAGTCTTGTGAGTGCTGTGATGGCTTCTGCAGTGTCTAGATCACGTAACGGTTGTTTTAGCGTGTGTAACGTTAACGTTACCGACAGATTACGCTCATTCATATCAGTTCGTGCCATGTACAGTAAGTTAGTACGTGCGAGTCAGCACTTCATTTGAGGAAGTAGCTAACTTTAGCGTACATAGCGAGGACAGGGAATGGAGAGGCTGTGTTATAAAAAGCCACTGAGTTCCCTAGCTAGACAGCACCATCTGCGCATTCGAACAAAAAGCTGTGCTTGTGCTGCTGCTGTCTTTCTAGGCAGCTCCCTAGGTGTTGAAACAGAGCCAGACTGCAATTCCTGGTCACTGGACATGACAGCCTTATGACTAATACTCGTTTCCCTAAAATAGCCAGAGGGTCATGCAGCTCTCACATGTACGATGTTGCCACACGAATGTATTTGTATATGTTTGTATTGTACATTTGCATTTGGCAACATTACTTCCGTGTGTGGTGGGCTGTGGGTGGGTCTAATGGACTTTGAAAACCTGTTATCTCAGTTTGCTGTGCAGCTCTCCAGAGATTATTTATGTGTGTGTGTGGGATCAGTTGAGGGAGGTTCTGCAGCACAGGCTGATCTGCTTACATGTTTGCAATTGGGGCCCTTGCTTGTGTTCTAAGCTGATCTTTTGTCACCCAAACTGAGTGTTTTTCCCCCCTAAGGATCAGCTCAGCTTTCCCTTTTGCAAACTTGTCTCTCCGCAGGTGAGTGCAGGCTAAATGATAATGGCACATGTTGGGGCAGTAGTCGCAGCAATGGCTGGTGTGATGGCCATTCTGCTTCATTCTTCCATACACAAGATCGAGGAAGGACATTTAGCTGTGTATTACAGGTGAGTGTAAGGAAGTAGCATTGAAAATATGCACAGATTTTATGCTTCTTATGTTAATAATTAATAAAATACCTGTAATATAGTTGAAGTTTGGTGGAAAGGCTAAATCAGTTAACGTTGTTTGTTTACAGCTTTGCATTAAAGGCATAGTTGATCCAAAAAAGAAAATAGTTGTTTGCCCAAGCCTGTATGACTTCCTTCTTCTGTTGAACATAAAGTAATATTTTCAGAAAAAGATTCAAGAGAAACTTTTTTGTCAATCTAATGGACATCAGTGGTCACCAAAACTATCTGATTATCAACATTCTTTAAAATATTTTCCTTTGTGTTCCATAGAACAATGAAAATCATACAGGTTTGAAATGACATGAGGTTGAGTAAATGATAACAGAATTTTCATTTTTGGGTCAACTGTCTCTAGGTAACATCACAGCTTCTTTATAACAATAGTTGTTAGGTAACACTTTACTTGAAGGGGTGTGCATAAGACTGACATGACACCTTCATAATCATGACATGACACATGTCATGAATATGAAGGAGGTTTTATGCATGTTTATGACAACTGTCATTAAGTGTCATTCGCTCAGTTATGTCATTTTTAATGCAAATATGACATTATTTGACCTACCCCTACCCCTACCCTTACCCCTAACCATAGCCCATAGCAAAGACATCTCAAACGATGTCATCTTTGCATTAAAAATTACATAACTGAGCGAATGACACTTAATGACAGTTGTCATAAACATGCATAAAAAACCTTCATATTCATGACATGTGTCATGTCATGATTATGAAGGTGTCATGTCAGTCTTATGCACACCCCTTCAAGTAAAGTGTAACCAGTTGTTGTAATATTTCTACACAAATGAAATTGATGTCATTTATCATTCATATAATTAATTTGCTTCCTAATTCTGGTTCATGTTTTTTTCCACCCATTTTTTCAGAGGAGGAGCTTTGTTGACAACTCCTAATGGGCCGGGTTACCATATAATGCTGCCTTTCATCACTTCATATAGATCAGTGCAGGTACAAATGTCATGTATTTACAGTTGGCCAGATAAAAAAATAATTCTTGTTTTATTACAGCTGTACACATTGCATATAATTTATTATGATCTTTTTCTACAACTTTTGGGACATGAGTGGATTTTTGAGGTTGTTGAATATTTAGCATTTACATTTATACATTTAGCAGAAGTTTTTATTAGAAAGTTAGAAAGGAAACCAAGCTAGAATATTGTTAAAGATGCTGATTTTTTTCCTCACGTTTGCATTATGTTTCTAGACAACCCTGCAAACAGATGAAATAAAAAATGTGCCTTGTGGAACCAGGTAATCCTTCGTGTTGTTGTTATTCCATCAATATGTCCTGAAAACTGCTTAAAATTGGTCATGATTAAATTGTACTGGATATTTTCTGGGCCTCCTGAATGAAAATAATAATTTCTTTGTCTTCCAAAGTGGGGGTGTCATGATCTATTTTGACAGAATTGAGGTGGTCAACATGCTGGTTCCATTAGCAGGTAAGAGCCTTAAAGGGATAGTACACCCAAAAATAAAGGTTCTGTCATCATTTACTCACCCTCAAGCCTTCTTCAAACCTGTATGACTGACTGTCTTCAGTGGAAGGAAAAATGAGATGTTAGGCTTTGACAAAACAAGGTCATGCTCTTGTTCTCTTCCTCGACAGTGGTGGAAATAGTGAAGAACTACACTGCAGATTATGACAAGACGCTAATCTTCAACAAAATTCACCATGAGTTAAACCAGTTCTGCAGTGTGCACACACTACAGGAAGTCTACATAGAACTGTTCGGTAAGTCACTGATATGTCAAACAGTTTATTCAGCCAAGTATACTGTGAACTTTCAGTTGTTTATTTGAGTGCTGCAGTTTCTGCTGTGTCATTAGTTTTGTCTTTGGTGCCTTCTCACCGCAAGAACATTTGTCATGGACTTGCATTTGTGTCGTTTTTGTTTGACAGACATAATTGATGAGAACTTAAAGACTGCACTGCAGAAGGATTTGAATGCTATGGCTCCTGGCCTCACAATTCAGGTATGGCTTTTAATCTCTGTGGTTTCAGTTTTGACTTGAGCAGAATTCGATGATTCCATAATATTTTGCAGGCTGTGCGAGTCACCAAACCTAAAATTCCTGAGGCAATCAGAAGAAACTATGAGCTAATGTGAGTGAATATATTTTTCTGTACAATTTGATTGGATGTCATAGTTTATCTCCATATTGTTTTTTTTTATAAATTAAAATGTTAGTTTTTTTTTTTAAAGGCTTGAGCAATTTTAAGCATTTTTTTACTCTTGTTGACCTTTAAAATTTATATAGTGACATTTAATATACACTACTGTTCAAAAGTTTGGGGTTGGTTAGATTTTTAAATGTTTTTGTCTTCTAAAGTCTTTTATGCTCACCAAAACCACATTTATTTCAAACACACAGTAGAAACAGTAATTCTGTGAAATATTATTACAATTGTTTTCTAATTAAATACATTTTAAAATGTAATTTATTCCTGTAATGCAAAGCTGAATTTTCAGCAGCCATTACATCAGTCTTCAGTGTCACATGATCCTTCAGAAATCAATCTAATATGCTGATTTGATGCTCAAGAAACGTTTTTTTATTTTTATTTTATTTTTAGGTTTTGCTGAAAGTTCAGAAGAACAGAATTTATTTGAAATAACAATCTTTTCTAACATTATAAATTGTCCTTGGATACATCTGTCTATGGTGTTAATCAAAATTTCCCTTGCTTTCATCATCTGCAGGGAAGCGGAGAAGACCAGGCTGCTCATCACCGCTCAGACACAGAAAGTGGTGGAGAAGGAGGCTGAAACTGAGAGAAAGAAGGCCATCATAGGTGAGTCTACATTTCCAAATATAGTGCTGATCATGTATAGAGTCATGGTTTGTCCTTATTCATTTTATGTGTTGATCTCATTGCAGAGGCTCAGAAAATGGCTCAGGTGGCGGAGATTCACTTCCAACAAAAAGTAATGGAGAAGGAAACAGAGAAAAAGATCTCCGAAATTGAAGGTTGGTTTGTCTGGTTTATCTACTGAGAATGTTCATAGCACGTGCCACGCAGAGTGTGTTGCTCATCAGTCACATTTATTTGATTGTAACAGATTCTGCTTTCCTGGCAAGAGAGAAGGCAAGAGCAGATGCAGAATATTACACTGCTGCAAAATTTGCTGAAGCCAACAGGGTAAAAACAACATGAAACAACTTTTTT